CAAAAATACCCGAATAAACCCTAATAAACCCTAATAAACCCTAAATAAACCCTAATAAACCCTAATAAACCCTAATAAACCCTAAATAAACCCTAAATAAACCCTAAAAAACCCTAAATAAACCCTAAATAAACCCTAAATAAACCCTAAATAAACCCTAAATAAACCCTAATAAACCCTAAATAAACCCTAATAAACCCTAAATAAACCCTAATAAACCCTAATAAACCCTAATAAACCCTAAATAAACCCTAAATAAACCCTAATAAACCCTAAATAAACCCTAAATAAACCCTAAATAAACCCTAAATAAACCCTAATAAACCCTAAATAAACCCTAAATAAAACCTAAATAAACCCTAAATAAACCCTAAATAAAACCTAATAAAACTTAATATAACTAAATAAAACTTAATAAACATAACAAAAGAAAACTGAAAATCGTGACATTACACAATTACACAACTACTCAAAAAGTAAAGTAAGTAAAGTAATTGCGTTTTCTCGGCTTATCTCTATTACTATTATTTCTAAATCTGCATCCTATCCTAATCTCTTTTTGGACATCTTTCATTCCTTAAATGCAACTTCTTTTTGTCTATCAATTAAAATTGTGTCTTATCGCTCGCATAGATTGGTATCTATTTTGCAATTCACTCATGTTTAAAAATTAAATTTTCCGGTAATTGTATGATTCTAATCTTTTTTGTTTATGTTGCGATTAATTCTAGTTAATTATTTTTGCATCTGTGGTTTCTATTTTTAGTAACTATTTTGAAACAAAAAATTATCTTCTCTTGTCCATTAAGTAGCTACTTTATTATTTTTTTTTAGTAAATTTTTTTTACTTTATTCAATTTATTGTGTCGAAATAGAATTTACTTTGAACCATTGACATATAAGCGTTGAAAATCAAGGCGGTAATAAATTTTTTTATTTTTTCAATGCTTTAACTATAGTATTTTGTTAGCATAGTTTTATTAAGTTTAAAAAAGATTATTTTTGACTGAGGTTCGACTATGAAAATATAGAAATATTGCGTGAACAGTATGTCGTCAATCTTACTACTACCTCCATCTCACAAAATATAATTGAAGGTCAACTTTTTATCTTCTACTTTTAAAATTTGAATCCCTCTAACACTCTTCTTGTATTTTCTTAATTTCCTCAATTAAAATTACTCTGTCCTTTTCAGACACTGCCCTGAAAGTTTTCAATACCCCTTCCCATTTCCAATTATTTATTGTTCCCCCACCACTCATAATGATAAATCCCAAATCTAAATCGCTGTTGGGTTGGCCCCCCTTTCTTCCAAATTGGCCCCCAATCCTTCCTCCCCTCCCACTCATTTTCCCCCCATGGCAATTTCAAAATCACAATTGCCCATCCACATTTCGAGTTGACCCCTCTCTTCTCAATTGGCCCCAATCCTTCCCCCACTCATTTTCCCCCATGCCAATTTCTAATTTACAATTGCTCCCAACCCTCTCTCCAATTAATTTGCCCCTTCTTTCCTACATCAACACTTCCCCAAGACAATTTTTAAACCAAAGTTGCCCTATCATTTTTTACCTGCAATTGACCATTTCATTCACCCATACATATTCTCTCATCAAATGACAATTTACCAGATGCAATTCTTTGTTTTTTCCAGTTACTTTTTTTTTGAACCTTCTACTTGATCCTTTTCAATATGTCTATTTCTTTGAATAAAAAACTTTTCTTTCTATACATACTACGACTATGTCCTCTTTTTTTATAGGTTAGCTGTCACTTTTGATGTTATTAATTTTTTAAAAAAATAATCCTTGCGTTTATGGCGTGTCTGTAGTATAGCATGTCAAGGTTGCTATCAAATTTTACTTATTATCATTATTTTTATTGTCTGTCTTTTTAGTAAATATTGTCAAACTAAACTAAAAATTATTTATTTTTGTCAATAAAATGGATACTGTATAAATATACTCTCTTTAAAATTAATTCTTTTTTGCTTTGTTGAGTTTTTTGTGATTATATAATATTTACTTTCAACATTTAATTGTAACAGTAAAAAATTAAGTCAAAGATTTAATTTTTTAACAATGTTTTCAATGTTTCAATTAACTACATTAAATTGTTATTATATTTTCTTTAAAAACTTAATAAGAAGATTATTTTAGAGTGAAAGTGCATTATGAAAGCATGGAAACAGTATATGAACAGCATGTAATTGAACTTTCTACTATTACCATCTCATAAAATATAACTAAAGTTCAAACTTCAATCTTTTGCTTTTCGAATTGGAATTTTTCAAACACCATTCCTGTATGGATGGATTCTCCCAAGATTTTCAATTCACACTCAGTCCTCTTTGCACACTGTCCTCAATTTCAAATGCCCCCATTTCCAATTAACCATTCTTTCCCAGCAACACCACAATGGCAATTTCAAATCACGATCACCTTTCTGGTTGGCCCAAATTGGCCCCTTTCCCCACCCAGTTACCCCAATCGCAAATCACCATCACATCTCCAAATGGCCCAAATCGGCCCACCTACCCACAACGGCAATTTCAAATCACGATCACCTTGGGGTTGGCCCAAATTGGCCCATTCTTCCCCACCCATTTTCCCCTTGGCAATTTCCCCACCCATTTTCCCCCATCGCAATTTCCCCCTCCCATTTCCAATTTACCCATTCTTTCCCAGCCCACCACAATGGCAATTTCAAATCACGATCACCTTGAGGTTGGCCCCAATTGGACCCTTTCCCCCCACCCATTTTCCCCCATGGCAATTTCCACACTTTCTCCCATTCCCAATTTACCCATTCTTTCCCACCCCACACCCATAATGGCAATTTTCTAATCAAAATTGCACAGGCCCATTTTCAATCGGCCTCTCTTTTCAAATTGCCCATCTTTCCCATTAGCAGAAAAAATCACTAAAAAGTCTGTTTTGTATACTGGTACTCATCATATTATGCAGAATCAGACCCAATAGCAAAATCAAAATCTTCATTTTACAGTATACCAATATGATTCAACAGTGGGTCAATACTGCAAACAATGGATTCAAACGAGTTTCGGTCAACGATCTGTTTACTATTAAAAGCAATTTACAACTATCAGGGAAAGAATGTAGGGATTTTCTCTCATTATGATTCTTGCCAAGCAAACTATCAACTACGTTATCCTTTATGCGTTAAGATAAAAGACTACTAGTACTAGTTGGTATTTTGTTGGTCAAACCTACTTGAGTAAACTCTTCTAATAAATCCATATGATCATTCTGCATTTGCTACTAAAGAGACTATCGACGACATATAAATACAAAATGAAACAAAGTCTAAGATATGAATAACTCCACTTACATATGGGATAGTTTTCGTGTGCTAGTATAAAACAACTTGATGGAAAGAAAAGACTTATGAAAAATGGACAGACAATATACGGTAGTTCAAACAACCCATGTCATTCTAGTAACACTATTCAAGCCATATTCAACTTGAGAATACACAATGAACTTATTCCTATTTATGTCACTTGCCTTGTATAAGTCTTCTTCAATAGTTAAAACTTGTCTTTGATTCACAAATCAGCAACTTGTCTAAAGTGCATTCTTACATCGGCTTGATGTGAAAGTCTGCGAGAGTGAGATCGTTTTACCAACTTCTTACCAATCTGAGGTTCCATACTACAAAACAAGTTATCAGTTCGTTTCTCAATCATCATAAAAAATACTCTTTTGTCTTTCTATTTGCTGAAAAAAGAAAAGAGTAATAAATTAACGAATTGATAGTGTACTACAATTCTTTAGTCTTGTGTCTGGCAATCCACATAAACTGTACTGTTTTATATGAATTGTTCGTGCTTCTTAAAATAACTAGCTTCACACCATCAAAGTCATTTCGTTTGATCATCTGGAACAATCTCTTCCAAGTGCAAGTTGACCAGGTTTTCTTCGTTCGTTCGTAGAGCAGTTTCCATCTGACCTTGGTGTCGAAGAAAATTGACAAACTTGAGTGTACACACTTTGGTAAATGCTTTCTTTCTCTTCTCAGTATGGACTGTCAAGTCTACTGCTTTCTCCCTTTCTTTATACCTTGGTTTCCTTGGATAGTTTCAAAGAGCTACAAAGTAAACCTGCTCTCTCTCCTTTTTGGTCACATGGTACTTGATTGCTTTAATATATATACATATATATATATACATAAATGTATATATATGTGTGTTTAGAGCGATAAGTCTTGACACCTCGTTGTTGAGTTTAAAAGAAACAAAAATTGAGTCATTGATGATAGGATGTATATCTAATAGCTTTGCAGTTGTTGAAAACACTCTAAATATTTTCGAGTCAAACGGAAAGGTAGTCGGAACAACAAATTTCGGAGTCTCTACGAAAAGAAAAAGACAATGAAATCTGAAAAACAATTGGCAATGTTGGTCAACTGAGTAAAAGCCAGTGAACAAAGAATTCGTGAAATGTATGGACCAGTCCATTCTCAAAAGAATAAGAATATGCGAGTAGTAAACAGAAAGCTTTATGAATAAATGGATGGGATGTAACTTTACGTAGTTTTCATTTATGAAAAGCCTACTGAAAGATATTTATTAGAATCCTTGTATCCAGAGTGAGGTAAAGTAAGATCCTTGGCAACTTTAAGCGAAACAATAATGAAGGTGCTTCTTATCCTATTGCCAATTACCAAAGGACTGCTAGTCAGTTGAAAAAAGTCCATATCAAATATACAACACCTCAAAATGACTACTGTTCGACAATCAAACCCTTTCCAAATTTTGTAACGTTTTCTTATTTCTTTCACGGAAACAAAAAACCATTTTACCTTTTAAATTCCAAAGTCTAAACTATTTCGCAGTTGTACGAGACTGAAATTTACAATAGACACAAAGTTATAAAACAGTATCAGAGGATCTCCAAGGACATGAAAAAGTATACGTTGACTTTGTCAAAGTTCATAAAATCGTTTTCTTTGTTAAGGCATACAAATAAGTACCTTCAAGTAGGTATTTGAAACAAATTCCAACAGGAAACAATTGAACTTAAAATTGAATTTTCGAGACAAAACAGAGATAGCATTTATCGAAGGAAAATTTGCAAAAAAAAGAATGACACCTAGTGTTTCTCTGTTCATAAAAATGTAGAACCATACATAAAATAGTGCGAAAATGGAAAAATAACACTTGAGCTTGTTTTGGAAAACTCCATACAATAAAACTAATCGTTCAATAAATGAAAGTTTTATCTATCACCATCTCATGGATCATTTCAACCGTCTATCTCGATATATTGCTACATTTGAAAAAGCTTCCTTGAAGAACAGTCTTGTAAAAAGTGGAACAAAGAGTGAGACACCAACTTTGACTCGAATGACGTTGTTCATATTTTTTTGTACCTTTTCCACTTTCCCATAAATATATAGCTTTATACATTTTGTTTCACTCGCTCATTTTTGCACAGAGTTTTCTCGTCTTCTAAAAGTCAAAACGCTTCATCTCCTTGTAAAAGTCAACTCATACTCCCAAGTTTAATCTCTTCCATAGTCTTGAGCCTACAATCCAACACTATCGTTTCTCTATAGCCCTTTTTTCCAATCCATTTCATATTCGAGCGACAAAATTGAGCTTTGTAAATACAACATACGCTGCAGCAGGCTTGTATAATCTTCTCTCAACGAAGCAAACACAGACGTTCTTTTCTAGTTTTTCTTTTGAACTTTTCAAAAAGTTTCTTCAGTCCTATGGTGGTGCAATCTCTTTCACCGGTGATGTTTCTCAGCAATCCAACGTCTATTGTTGTGCATATTACGTTAAACCAGAAAGTAGTAAACAATAAATAGACCCAGAGTATGCAGAAACTTTCTCCATTTATTGTTTGACTGAAACTATTGGAGATACTTTTCAACAATTTCAATGTTATTCTCGCTTGTGTTTTCAAGTCTATGATGTCAGTAACTGTAAATCGTATGGAAGAAATGTTGAACAATTCCTGAAAATTTTTCTGGGTCTCACCTGTGATGTATCTACTTTATCTTCTTCGATTGACTCCAACATACATATTCGTTTAACGTGTATACCTCTTCATGAAACTCAAACAGCATAACGAATCGGGCTGTACTCGATCTTTTTTTTAAACCATTCCTTGACT